CTGGACATAGCGTAGCTGACACACAGAGCCCATGACTGCAGGAAACACTGCTCAGGATTACATCCGTCTGCTTGACAGGTGCAAGGATTTTCCTCCCTTTTTTCCAGCCGGCCCCTCCACACATCTGAGGCTGAGCTGAGCTCTTAGGCAGAAGCTCTTCCCTGGGAGGGTGCTGAGGCGCTGGCACAGGGTGCCCAGAGAAGCTGTGGCTGCCCCATCCCTGGCAGTGCTCAAGGCCAGGTTGGACACAGGGGCTTGGAGCAAGCTGCTCCAGTGGAAGGGGTCCCTGCCTGTGGCTGGGGTTGGAGCTGGAGGAGCTTTAAGGTCCCTTCCAACACAAACCACTCTGTGACTCAGATTTTTCCACCAGGAAACTGTATTCTGGTTCATCACCCACAAGATGATGCCAAAGCTACTTCCTTAACTCACAGTCACAAACCCCACTACTCAAACACAGAAACACAGATCTAAAAGATTTTCCTTTGGAAGGGATGGAGTCCAAGTGACAAGCAAAAAACCACAGATCCCACACAAAACTGAGCCTGCAAGCAAATATTAGTGCTTGCCTAAGGCACATCTGAGGCCCCATGGCCTCAGAACAAGGAGCGATCAGCATCTCATGTCCAGCCCTCACATCATGACTCCAGCCCAATGTGTCCTGGTTTGTAGGATGGAGCTGTCTGCTTCACCACCTCAGTGACAGATCCCATCTCATGCCTCCCCATCACTCAGCGCTATGTGTGATTTAATGGGCAGCTCTGGAGCAGAGATAGGGAGCCCAGAGGCTTCTGAGTGCCAAATAACTCAGCTGAACTTGAAGAGACTCAGCTCCCTGTCAGCAGGAGCTGGTGTGGGAGCAGGTCAGGAGGGAGCCTCAGGCTCCTGCATGGCCCAGAGACCTCGCAGGGGCTCAGCCAGTGATATCTGTGACCTGAAAAGATTTGGCAGAGGCCTGACACAAGGCAATAAAGCTAAATAAGAGCCTGAGATGGGCAGACAGCATCCCCAGCCTGGGCCCATCCGCCCAGGTGAGCCACAGGACATCCTGCAGGATTGCACAGGATCACCTTGGAGGGACGAGCAGGGTGAAAACCAGAGCACAAAGTGGAAAAGGACATGGGACAGAGGAACAGCAGCACATGAGGGTCACAGGCACCGGGCTGGGTCAATGGGACTTGTTTTAAATCAGCATCCCAAGGCACCCTACCCCTGGGAGTCAGCTCATCCCACACTGCTGAGACCCCAAAGCAGGGCATAGGAGAGGGGTCTTCACACCAACCCAGGCTGAACCCAACCTGCCAGCACCTCCATGAGCCCCAGATGTGCCTCCCTCCTCTCTGTGCCCCCCCCCAACCCTGTAGGCACCCCCGTATAACCCAAATCCCTGCCCGCAGAGAGGAAGCATTAGCGTGACAAGATTGTGGTGATTAGCTCCATTAGCATAAGCAGCTCCTGGGCTGGCCCTAATCCAGAGGGACACAGGCAGCCCATGCACTGCTTGCCATCATCCCTGGGCTGTCCTGAAGGACCTGTGTGAGCTGGAGGAGACGATGCTCACCAGCGTCCCTGTGTCAGTGGGAGCACAGCACTGCATGCCCGCAGAGACCACCCGATGCTCCCAGTTCAGCCCAACCCTTCCTAATGCAATTGTCACATTGGGATGGCTTTTTGGCTCCCATGGCTGCCTTTCAGCTCACGGGCTGCTCCAACAGGAGCACAAAGTCCTCAGGGACGGTTTGCCCTGTGTATTTTATAGTGCAGCTTTGTTTAGCACACCAAGGCAATGCTATAACCCAAAACCACCTCGCCTACATGGCAAGGAGCGCTCTCTGCAGGTTCCCACGCAAACCTGGGCAGTTACACATCCCAGACAGAACAGATCTGCATAAACCACTCTTGACTTGCACCTGCAGAAGGCTCCTTGGTGGGAGCCCAACTCACCTGCATGCAGCACCCAAAGGGAAGCACTGAAGAGCTCACAAGGATCAAATAGAGAGCAAACACTCAATCCTCCCCCTTCCAAAGCAACACAACCACTCCCTCCTAAGAGGAAAGCCCAGCACTGCTGGTAACAAGAGCATTTATTAATAACAATTAACAGCATTAATTGCCAATAATCAGCAGCTGGGCCTCACTGATCTCACCAAGCAGGGAGTGCTGCCTGCCCTGCCTGCAAGGAGAGGGCACTGGGGCAGCCCATGAGAAGGTAAAGGATTTACATTGGATATTGGGGAATAAATCCTTCATTCTGAGGGTGCTGAGGCGCTGGCACAGGGCGCCCAGAGAAGCTGTGGCTGCCCCATCCCTGGCAGTGTTCAAGCTGCAGCCGGGGCATAGGCACCCCCATTTCCCCCTCTAGGGGGGGAGGCAACACCAGAGCTTAGCAACACCTTGAGCCTCCCACCTCACCAGAGCATCCCTCAGCCCCCATCGCCCTCCCGCATGGGTACCGGTGGTGCTGACAGGGCTTTATCTGGGTGGAAAAACACTTGGGGCACCGAGCAACAGCTAAAAGTGCCTGGGGTCAGGTCCCGAGCAGCTGCCGGGGCCGGGCTGGAAGGGCTTTGCCCTGAAGCCGCTGCATCCGCCCCGGCGTGCTCACCCCAGTAACAGGAGATGCCACTGCAGCAGTGCTGGGACCTGGCATGTGGCAGGAGCCAGAAATAGACCTGTTTGTGTGGCAACTGAGAAAACAGCAACGGGAGCAGGCAGGTGGGGGGGGGTCAATGGTTTGGTTTGAGGCCAGAAATAGGTATTTGGGTGGAAGAGATGTGTTTATATTTGAAAGGGGATTTGCTTGGGATGGGAGCCCCATCAGGAGCTGCGCCTGCCTGTGCTGTTTCCATGCAGGTCTGCGTCTCCCCTGGCTCCAGCAACACCAGCGCTGCTTTTCCATGCACCACCCAGTTTTGGATGCTGTGTACACTGGGACACGCTGGCTACGGAGCCAGCAGGGTGCAAAGGCAGGCTTGAAAAGGCTTGTTCCAGCGTCCCATCACACAGAGAAGCTGTGGCTGCCCCATCCCTGGCAGTGCTCAAGGCCAGGTTGGACACAGGGGCTTGGAGCAAGCTGTTCCAGTGGAAGGGGTCCCTGCCCGTGGCAGGGGTTGGAGCTGGAGGAGCTTTAAGGTCCCTCCCAACACAAACTAGGCTGGGATTCGATGAACCAGGCTGCGCCCCGATGTTCAGAAGACATCACCCACATTGCTGTGTGCTATCCCCTTCCCACAGTGGCAGGATCCAGTGGAAGGAGGAAGCTCCATGGCCAGCAGATGGTTTGATAACTGAGTCCAACTGCTTATATGCAATGTAAGAAAGGAAGGGGAGAGCCACCTGAAACGGGGTCCACCAAAAGCTGCATCTCTTGTGGCCCTATGGGGAACTAAAGCATCTTTCTGTTGCCAGTTCATAGGAAGGGCCGTGTGTGCATTAGACCCAGCACTGTGATGAGGAGAGAAGCTCTGGGTTTAGTTTAATAGAAAACAAACATCATCAAGGAATATTTATCAAGGTTTGTGTCATTCTTGCTCCTTTCCCATCACACGGGGATGTGTCAAAGGATCACGCTTAACCGTGCAAGTGCGTAAGAGGGGTCTGGAAACAGTTATAGCAAAGCATGTGATTCCACTCAGCCAGGGAAAAGAAGAAGGAACTCCAGCTCGGAGCTCTTTTATTCTCCTGCCATCTTATTGCTGCTTCTGACAGCCCCACCAGTGTCCCACAGGGCGAGAAAGACAACGATGAGGGAGGTAAAATGCTGCTGCGCAAGGAACTGCAGGCAGAGCATGGAACCAAACCCTCGGGAGCTCAGCTCCACACGATTGTCACTGCAAAACCACCCGGAATGGCTGGGAAATGGAAGCTGAGCTGTTTGCTGCCCCCCCAAACAAGCAGCGTTATAACCTGCCCATGGCAGGGGTTGGAACTGGATGTGCTTTAAACCTGTCTATGGTTCTATTCTATGATTCTAAAGGTGCATTTTTGAAGATCACTGGGGTGTAGGCACCTGGAAGGTGTTGGAAAACACAGGTACCCCCTCCCAGTGCCCAGGGTCCTGCACGGAGGCTGTAAAAGGCAAAATTGCCTGTAGCCACCCCTGCTTTTTCCACGTTTCTCTCTATCTAAAGAAGAAATCAGGATCTAAATCCTCTCCACATGGAGGAAAAGGTGGGCAGCACATTTCTGTGGGCGTATTCATTAGCCCAAGCCTGGAGGGTCTGCCCATCTCCCTTTCCATCCCATGGCAGAGGAGCTGGCAGCATCAAGCCCAAACCATGCCAAAGGCTCATCACTCGCTGAGCTCCACACAGGGCACCAGCAATGAAGGGAATGGTGAAGGGGATATACAAGGGATATACAGCTCATGTCTCAGAGATTCAGCCTCAGGCCAAGGAATACCCCTCTCTGCTTGCCTGGCATACTTACTCTGTGCTTATGGCTTTGAGAGCAGAGTTCTGGTGTGAATGACTTGCATGACCCCTCCTGCGTGATGACTTTGCAGCTGGCTGCCCACCGCTCAAACCTCAGTTCATGTATGCATTGTTTGATCATATAGGTCCTAGCTAAAGGCCTGGTTATTCCAGCATGATTTCATCTTCAGACTATTCCAATATCCACTCATGTACTGTAGGCTACCCATTTATAGGTTTCTAATAAAAGCAAACCGTCCTTAAGAGGCTATTACTGGGTTTCTCCTTTCGGCCCAGGGATAAGCAGGATTCTGGGCTTTAAAAAGCTCTCCAGTGGGCTCAATGAGAAAGTGACAACTGAAGAATGTCATGGCCGAGCTGCGCCGCATTCTAATTCCAGCCCTGCTGAGGAGATCAGAGCATTCCTCACGTGTGGCACAGACACACTGAAACCATCTCCTCACACAGAGCCGGAGAACGTTCCAGGCATCTCCAGCCAGGTGCCACACAAGGTAGTGTGGCACCCAACCCAATCCAAGGCAAATTACATCATTGGGAGAAACGAATACTTAAATAAACCATAATCAGGACTTTGCTAAAGAAAATTCTGTCTTTATTTTCCTTTTAAAAATGAACCGGAATACAACTTGAGGAAATATCTGTTCATTACATTGAGATACGATAGCTTGAGACCGACTTATTCCCAAAGTGTTCCTTCACAGAGTTATAGTCACATGCACCTTAAATGTTTCCTACAGTCCCCACCATATTACACCTCATCACAATACTTATAATAAACAGGCTAACCTGTAAAGTCTTCAGACGTCGACATTGGGTATGAACATCTGCAATGTGTAAGAACCCCTGAATAGTCATTTGATTGCACCGAGACAGATGTAGGCTGGTAAAATAATAAGGCACAGTTCTCCGGATGGGGAGCACGGGTTAGTCTTTAGCAACACTGACTTCCTGAGCCAGTCAGCCCGTCTGCAAGAACTGCATGTGGAGTCCCTCAGTGCAGGGACAGCGTTCACCTACCCAAGCCTGCTCTGATGGCCCCAGGGTTTTACCTGTTCCAGGGGGGTTAAAAAGCTCTATCAGTGGAGAATGCAGAAGGGCTCTTGTATGGGAGGAACAAAGTGTATGCACCTCCCCAAACCCTTATCAAGTTAACAATAAAAATAAAACATAAGAAATATCAAGTGGTATCTGTGAGAAGCTCCAAGTATAAACCCATGATATCCAGTTTACGGAACTGCCAGGAACCCACAGCTCCGGGCGCTCAACATAGAACCAAGTTAGAAAAGCCCTTTAAGGCCATCAAGTCCAACTGTTACCCCAGGACTGCCAAAACTCCTGGCTTTCTCACTGAAGCAAAGGCTTTCTGCACAGTGTGGCTTGGATCTCAGCTGGGTGCTGCAGGGAAGGGCTGCAGAGGGATCCACAGGACTTTGGCTTCCACTTCCACAGCAGCCTGTGGGATTTGGAGCCAACATTGCAGCAGGGATGGCCGGGTGCAGAATCAGCCGTTTGCTTGTCGGGCTAGGATTAGTAAGACATTGCTGAGATCATCATGTGTATGTTCCACAGCCAAAACAGCTATTAGTATTAGACAAGGAAAAATAGAAAGAGCTGTAATCTGCAGTGAATACCCCTTTAAAAAGGACCCCACGTTTAGTCTGGAGGTAGTTTTAAAGCAGATGGGTGTTGCAAAGAACCTCTGCTGAGAAAATGCTGCTTAAAAAGTTTTCAACTGCATCAAAGTCCCAACAGGGCACAAGGATTGGAAGGAATTTCACACTGAGCAACATACTGTTCCATGAAAGCCACAGAATCCCAGACCAATCTGGGTTGGAAAGGACCTTAAAGCTCACCCAGCCCCAACCCCTGCCACAGGCAGGGACCCCTTCCACTGGAGCAGCTTGCTCCAAGCCCCTGTGTCCAACCTGGCCTTGAACACTGCCAGGGATGGGGCAGCCACAGCTTCTCTGGGCACCCTGTGCCAGCGCCTCAGCACCCTCACAGCAAAGAACTTCTGTAAAGCTTTCCAGTAAGTCTGTTGTGAATGCTCAGGTCACTGCACAATGGGATAAAAAACTCTAGCAAAGAGCATCTGTTGTACACAGATCGCTGGGATCAGGTCGCAGTTGGAAAACAAGCTTCATGTTCAGCAGCTGGTGTTGGTAAGATCAAACCTGCAAAGAACTAAAGGCAGCCTGGGGGGGGGTGTGCCTGTAGCACCATGCTCTGCAGGGAAGACAATGGCTTCCCTGTCCCACCGAGCTCAGCGAAACCCAAGTGGCTCCCTGCGTGGACAGGCATTAACTACTTGGAGCCCAGTGTAAAAGCAAAGTGTATCTGTCAGATGGGATGTTCAAGGTGGCATTTGTTTAGATGAAAATACTGCTAAACCCAACAGCTGGAAATGCAGACAATAAACAGAGCATATCATTTACAACACAAAGACAGCAGCAGCATGGTAAACATTGGAAACGTAAAGAAGGTTTAAAACAGAAACGTGATGGCTGTTCTGCTGTAAACCCAAGTAAATGTGCATTTGTTTTGTGCTGACTTCCTAGAACACAGCTGAAGTTCCAGTGGAACCTCACCATGGCTGGCAGGTTAACAAACCCACAAAGCAGAGAGTGACCCCAAACCCAAAAGCTGCTCTGGTAATCTATTGAGACCGGTTTAGTTTTAGATCACTTTTGAAACCACACCATCCAACCACGCAGGCCATGGTCCAACCCTCCACACATGGATGTGGGCAACTGTGCTAATTCACAGGGAACACAAGTTAGGTGCTTGCAGGGATGATTCCTCAGCTCTGTCCCAGCTAGGAGATGTATCAGCTCACGTGGAGGGCTCTCCCAGCGCGGGGATACTGTGTCTACTCACTGAAAGCAACCATTTCATAAAGAAATGGCTTAGTTACTGGAAACAAGACCAAAATATTCCCTGGAATATTTATAGAAAGGATGGAGAAATCCTTTTCAACACAGTAACACACTGCTGAGGCTGCTTCCTTTACCTCCTCACCTACTATGGCTATGTAGACAAGAGCCCCAAATCAGTAAAACAGTTAACTATGCTCTTCATTTTCAAATGCAGTCGTTCCCAGGAAGAAAGATCTAGTCTTACAGAGACACAACTCATAGCAGGCACCCTGTGCAGTCAGGTCATGCTCAACACATTTTCTAGATAAAAAGGAATTAGTTCTTGCCAGCTAATTACTTCAGCTGCAGCTTTACAGCACCAACCTTGAGATTGCTGTGTGTACACCAGAGGCTCCCACATTAGAAGTTACCCTCTAGCAACTACTTCCCAGAAGCCACAAGAGAATGATTAGTTCTCCATTTGGCATTTTAGAGAGGAAAACAGTTTAGAACCAAGATACTGCTCTGTGTTCCTAAGAGAAGACCTGTTTGTACAGCTCCTAGCGCACCAACACTCCACTGCCTCCTGCCAGGCTCAGACACCACCATCACTTTATGCTCTCTATACAAAGTGCTTTCCTATGCATCTTTCCTAACAAGCTATTGCTCCTGAAAGGTTTCTTTCTCCTCACTCACCAGGTATATTCTGTTAAAAAATGCATAGATAAAGGGCAGAGGAGGAAGAAGAATGTTCCTGGCTTCTGAAAACATGCCACATCTATTAGCAATTCTGCTAAAATCAATGGTATCTGCTGCCACTTCCCCCCAAATCACTTCCCCAATTCGCCATTCAAATAAAACTTCACTAAACCCATCAAAATAAAAATATACCAGTCATGTATTATTGTGAAGTAAGCCATGAACATACCATAAACCCTAGTACTACTTGTAGCTGCACAGATAAAGGTTAGACTGTTATTTTACTATTCTTAGTAAGCTTATTGACCTCACACTCGTAAAACAAAAGAACTCAGAAAAGCCATGTACACGAGAATCTCCATAAAACAACAGCCTTGGAAAGTCTGGAGCTTTGGCTCTCTTTCTGATGTTTTATACAGGTCTCCACCCAGCATTTCACCAGTGCTGTAATTAGAGCAGATGAGAAAATGCAGCCCCATCTTCTCAGAGGAAGGGTCTTGCATGGAACACGCGTTCACCTTATCTTAAAATTCCCCCCTGATACTCCCTTTAACATTAAAAACCTGCTACACAGAAACTCATTCGATCTAAAACCTGTTCAGAAAAAGCTCGAAATTGTGTTTAAAATTCTGTGCAGGCACCTGGCAAGAGATCAGATGGTTTTGCAAATGGACTCGGGCCATGTGGCTGCAAGAAGTAACAACCCGAACAAGTTGGGCTGTTGTGATTACAGCTCACGCCACCTTTTCATGTTCTGGGAAGATAAAGGAAGAGGAAATACAAGCTCACGGATTTCAAGAATGAGAAAACACAGACATCTCTCTCTCAAGGACCTGAAGGAGTAAGATTAGAAGTAAAGCAACTCCTCCCATAGGGCGTTTTGATTTGGATTCACCAGTTCTCGCACCTTCTCAATCTTTTCCTGGTATTCCACAGATTATGCTTAGATTTCAGAGCATGCTTCCAGTTATTAGGTGTGCCCCTCCACTCCCAGTTTCTATTTACAGTCCTGGGCCTTACGAACTTGTACTGTCTGATAGGGGTGGCATGTTTGCTTTTTATTAAAAGAGCTCCATGTACTGCAAAGGAATTCACTCTACAGGGGAAAAACTAGACATTAAGCTGACCAGAATCTCAAAGGTGTGAATAAACCAGCTCTTTAAGTTCATCAGTTTTGGTTTGTGAACAACACAGGCAAACAAACACACACACCTGGCAGAACTGATGCTGAAAATGAGTAAATCTGAGCTCCCAAGCAACACGGAATCGATTCATTAGCCCTGAACAAACCAGCACACACTTGGAATGGATCAGTCCTGATCTTGAATTCCCCTCCCAGCTTTCCATGGACTTCTAAAGGAAATAACAACTGCAGAGAAGCTGTTAGTTTGATTGAGATATATCCTCTGTTTCAGGGCATTTCTATGCTCCTTTGGAGAAAGACAGGTAATGTTCAGATGATAAACTTTCAACACCAAATTCCTTTGGTGTCTACATCCCATGGTACTTCTAAAAATCTCAGTCAGGGTAGATAAGGGGAAAGCAATGCAGAGAAATTAAATTCTTTAAACATAAGTTAGCAATTTGCAAGTTCCTAATGCATTACATTAACACATTTGTGCTTTTGACAACTGATGTAAAAACTCTCCCCAGAATAAAAAGACTTCAGTTGGAGATGAACTGAAAGATGTATTTTAAATCCATTTTCCTTGCTGTCATAAGCAAAAGAATCTGTTAAACCGTCCTGATAAGAATCAGTTTGATTTCTAACCCAGCATTACTGGCATGTCTGCCAAACTGTCGTTTTCCTCAATAGCTGAGCTGACCTACCCAGTCAGGTAATATATGCACCACATTGTGAATGAAACAGTTGGATAAAAGTTAGCCCTTGAAATGTGTACATTTTGATGGAGCTTTTTGTAGTTGAGATTTAGCCTCTAATAAAAAGTAAACCCATTAAAAACCTCTGCATTTGACTTCCTTACACATTATTAACAATTAAAATACAAGGGATGTATTCTGGAAATGCATCATTCTCCATTAGCTGACCAGTTTGGGTAGCACAGTACATAGAGGTATACCTCCACTGGAGTCAGTGGTTAAGTTAGCCCTCAGCTTGTTGGCTACTCCAACTACAGGAGGCAACTTGGAACCTATTCCTGTGAAAGAACTTGTGTAGCTGGAAATCCTCTTAGTGGAGGGTTTGTCAGTGCTGGGTGGTTTGGGCGTTCGTTTACAAATCCAAGGGTGCCTTAAAGCTTGACCCGGTGTCATGCGTGTGGAAGGATCCCAGCTGAGACATTCCTTCAAGAACTCTATAAACAAGGGATCATCACAACCTTTCAGTGCTGTCACCCAGTCTTTGTTCCCTGGAGCACCTCGGACTTTACCCCGGCGTGATCGACTCCCATTAAGGGTCACTCTTCCGTCTGCATGTGTAGTCACAGTGCAGTAGCGAGGATGACCCTTAGAGTTGATGAAGTTCTTGGCTCGCTTGGATTGATCCAAAAGCTTCTGAGGTGGCATTCCAAGAAGTTCCATCATACAAGCCAGTTGGTCTCCCTCATCCTCTCCAGGAAAGAGAGGGTATCCAGTCAGTAGCTCCACCAGAATACAGCCAAAACTCCACATATCTATGGGCATCCCATAGCGACTTCCCAAAATTACCTCTGGTGCCCGATAAAATCGAGACTGAATGTATGTGTAGACTCTTTGGTGCTCGAAACAGCTGGACCCAAAATCTATAACCTTGATTCCACTCCTCCCCTGCTGTTTTAGGAGGATGTTTTCTGGCTTCAAGTCACAGTGTATGATTTTGTTTCTATAAAGGGCATCCAAACACTGCAGGATAGAGTGAGCAAACTTGCGTACCAGTTGAATACTGAAGCCCTGAAACTTATTTCTTTTAATCAGCTCATACAGGTTCATACTCAAGAGTTCAAATGTCATACAGATGTGGTTCCGAAAGGTGAAGCTTTCCAGCATGTGGATAACATTCATACTGCCCGTTTTATCCTGCTTCTTCAGATGCTCCAGAATCCGGATTTCTTCTGCCGCTTGGCGATGGAATCTCTTTTCATTGCGCACCATCTTTAAGGCTAAGTGTTGGTGGAGTTTGTGGTCGTAGACTTTAGCAACTTGTCCAAAACTGCCCTTGCCAATGATTTTGAGGACTTCATACCTGTAAGCAAGATGGTCGTGGGGCACGTGAATGTAGCTGCCTTGTTCATCATCATAGCCTCCGTTGTTGGGACCACCGATTACCCCTTGCCTCTTTTTTGCAGCTGGACCCACAAAGTAGATCTCAGAAAAATTAAATATCTCCTGCTGTTCATAAGCAGATAACTGATGTTTGTACTGTTTGACAGCTTGCTCTGGAGCTTGGGAAATGGCTTTATGTGCTTTTGAGGAACTACCACCACCTTTAGAAGTGCTTATGCTCTCTATACTTTTATCTTTCGTCAGGGAAGGAAGAGATCTTTCTGAACTAGTAATTCCCGTAGTCTGAAGAGTGCTACTCCTTCTGTTCCCAGAGTCCTCAAATAATTGCTCCACTTTGACCTGACTTCCAGTCAGAGAGTGATCCTTCATCCCAAGTTTGTTGCTAGAAACCTACAGATGAGAGAAAAAATAAAAGCTTTATTTTACCATTTAAAGCACAGACTGAGAATAAAATCAACACCATGTAAAACATCAACAGATTTTGCATTTCCATTAGGAACAAATGTAAAACGCCTGACCTAAACTCACTTGAGTTACAAGCATAGTTATAGAAGGGTACACAGGGAATGCAGCTTACTAAAACAAGCACCAACATACTTTTAAGTCCATAAAGGGTAAACCCTGGACAGTCAGACACTCCACAAGGACACAGTACCTATCTCTCCTAGCATGCTCGCAGTCGGCAAACAGCCGGGGAGCAGCTATGTTTAGCTCTAACCGTGGGTGCAGCAAACACAACCAATGACAGATGCAAGCTGCACCTGTCCGAAACATGCAACGTAACATCAATGCACAGGAATATTGCAGAGACAAGTGTGCCAGAGGAGACAAAGAAATGAGAGAGCAGGTGACATGAGGCTGGTAGAATGGGCTGAGTGAGGAGCAAAAGGGTGACAAGAGAGAGATGAACCATATTTAAAAGTGAACGAGTGGGTTTTCTGTGAAGGGGAAATACCATCATATCCACAACTCCCTTCAAAATCATGAGAACTACACAAGTATCTTAAGACAGACTTTGAACAACTGAGAACTCTCACTCCAACTTGGTTGACAGTAGTCTGTAACCACTGCCTCTTACCACCATATATTAAGCTATTTACATCTGAAATGGACATATAAAAGGCAAGAAAAGCACTGTGAAATGATTCAAAAGTGTTATTTTTACAATCTAGTAAATGCTGAACTCCCCGGTTCAGCTCCTTACTAGAAGAGCAGCTATCCCCCTTTTCTACTCACTGATGCTCCATGCTGATCAGCAGCAGTGAGGTGTTGTCTTAGCCCATGCAACCCTGAAGAAGCCACGACTTAGAGTAGCAACATCTGTTTTCCATTTTGGCCTTTAATCTAAAAATAAAGACTTGAGGCACATGCCAAAGCGAAGCCCTGAAAACCAAAATAACTACAGAGGAATCGAGCAAAAAATATAAATAAACCTGCAGATCCACAGCAATAAAACCAAATTCCTTTTTAGTTACATACAATCCAACATCTCGGCACAGTCAGTAAATCAGGGAAGTGAATGTTCTTGCCAAAAACAACTACACACGTCTCTTAAAGAGTCTGTTTGTTGGTGCTGCCTTGAAATGTTAACTCTTGCTCGCAAGCCTTCAAAAAAAGGCATTTCCTGCAGAAGTCACTCCTTATCAATGGCAAGTAGGGGCTGTCGGATATATCCTACCAATTGCACTACTCTGGGTCCTATCAACCCCCAAAATACAGTGCACTGGGAGGGACACACCTTTCCACAAAGCCTGAAACACAAAAACAAAGCCCAACCCTGGTAGCTTCGAATAAACGCCTTTTTCTCGGAGCCTGGCTGAACCTGTGAGATAAGAATGACACGTGCAGAACTGCCTAAAAGACTACTTAGTGCAGCAGACTCCAACAGGGACTTCAGAGATAAACATAAGCACAGAATAAGGTTCACACTTGCTTGTTTTCATGGAGGGGACAGGAGAGAAGGGGAAAACCAAACCAAACCAAGCCTGTCCCATAGCAGAAGTCCAAAACACGGTGTTAACTGTCTGAATGTCACCAGTTGTAGCAACATGGAAGTGACCTTGCAATCAGTACTACACCAGCAACTGCTGTTGCTAATGCTGCTGTTTGTAGCAAACATTTGGTACCTTTGAATCCCTAAATAAGGAAGGGATTCATAATTCCACTTATCCTGCAACTATTTCTTAATGAAGAAACTACACCTTTGGATCTCAAACCCAACTCAACAGCCATTCAAGCAGCGAAAACTCCAATTTCATCCTCAGAGAACCAAAACCTTTTGCCATGTGACAATGAGACACAAATATAGATCAGTCTTAACTTGAACTCAGAAGAGCTACACTCAAAGTCAGATGACTTCTGGGGAACACGAGCTTTCTTTCAACAGCTTCTTTTTACAAATCACAGGCTGCACAGGTTTTGCTTTATTGATAAAGCGCTATTTGCAGTCAAGAAATTCAACTGACAAAGAAGATTTTCACATACTTATAGCAGCATTTTAACTGAGAAAGAAACCTTCAACCCAGTTCCCACACAACTGGTTTTGCACAAGCGCATCTGAATTAAACTGAATTAAAGCCGTGTACTCTCAAAGCAGAGATATTTGTGTTCTCTTATAGCTAAGATGAAAAGAATGTACAGCTGCAGACATCAGAACCCTTGAATTGTCATGGAACATTACATTGTAATAACAAAATCTTGCATGAAGGAAAACAAATATCACTTCTTTCCAGATATTTTCCCATTAAAACTGAGCATCACGATGTTCATTCCTGCACACTTCATCTCAGTTCTTGCTCACAAGATACCACTGCGGTTGTGTTTTTTAGATGTGTCATCATGGCCAAACTAAGCGCTGTATAATCCTTAATCTTGCCTTAAGAAGTAAACAGGCTTGATGGACAAAATACAAATGAAGAGTGGGAAACACAATGTTCACAGAGTTATAGCTATATTTGTATTTAACTGGATAGTTCCATTCCATTTTCTCTTTGGTTATGAACAACTCAAGTTACACTATGACTTAAAGCCTGCAGTTTAAAAGCTTCCATGTCCCCGCAAAAAAACCCCAAACCACCCACTGCTCTTCAAACTCCACTACTCAACAAACCTCTGTTTCCTCTACTCTCTCTCAATATTGCCAAAAAGGGAAAACACAAACCCACGCTACTGAGTTTGCCCAGTGAATGGCATGGACCAAGCTAATTAATATCTGCTACAGTAAATTCCCACAAGGTGATGATCTTCAAATGCATCTTACTCCGTGAAGTGTCTATTTTCACTTCTTAGAAAGTGGGTTTTTTTTAAGCTCAAGCTCCTTCACTTCTGCCAGAATTCAACAAGAGCCAGATCACGTTTAGAAAGCATACAAAGGTCAGATCACTGTACAGCTAAACACGAGCATGACTGCTCAGCTGAAAGGGAAGATCTCGTAACTCCACATCTGCTGAGGAAACAGTATGCTTATGAAGAAGCACGTTAACACCTTCACTCCATAAAGAGCTATTTTGCTAGCAAGCAAAGCAGCAGATAAGGGCAAAGTTTTCAGAGAGGAAAGATACTTTTGTAAGACGTTTTGGCAGCCATGCAAACCCACGCTGCTCCTCCTGCTGTTCCCAAGTACTTATCTCCCTGCATTTTCATGAGGGAAGCTAAAATGGAACCGTGTTAAGAGGTAAAACAAAGCATCTGTGGATTTACATACTTACCAACATACAAGGTGACATGGCACAATGCTCCAACCTTCTGGAAAGCAACTTTCTTGATTACAACAGGCTGAGGATAGTAAGATGATTTCTAAGGCTGCCTAACAAGCTCTGTGTTGAACACAGTATCATTTCTATGCTTAGTAAAAGCAATAAGCAATCATGTTAATAAGCTACTACAAAGCTGCACATCCCACTTAGATTTATTCTTTGTGGGGAGACATCTAACTCCTTGACAGTTCTCACTTCCACACAACACAACGTGAAGACCCAGACGGCTTTAAAATACTCACATTAGCTCTCGCCAGGGAAGGAAGTCCTGAGGGGCTGTGTTCTTCATTTGTAGCCTCTTGGTACCTAATTTGATCTATCCTCATGTAGGAGTCATACAATCCATCTCCAAACCTGGCTGCAAACGTCCCACACACGAGCCAGTTAGTCACAACAATTCACAGCTATACAGACAAAGCTGAAATGTGTCTCAGCACATTTCAGGCTGTAAAATCATCAGTTCTTGTTCATTTAATAAGCGACATTTAGGATTTAACTGTGTTTTAATACCACAACAGAATGCAAAGCTCCTGGAAAACCTTAATTTGCGACTCTTTAAAAATCAGCTTTTGCACTGCAAATACATCTTTAATAAACACCAACAGATGCACTCCCCATTTTCCCTTAAGTAGGATAATCCCGAACTGGCCTCACGGAGAGGGACAACCGAAAACGAGCCTAACTGGAATCGGACTATCCTCTAAAGTAGGTTACCCGTTGAAAGCGATACGTGGGAATTACAGTTAGATTTGCTGCCGGGGCGTGCGTGCGTGAAACAAAACGTTCACGTGCCCGTCTGCACCGTGACTGCGGACAAACCCCGTTCAAGAACCGAGAAATGCAGCTCCTAACGCTGCCGGCTCCGCATCGCGCTTTGCCAACGGGAGAAGCCCCGGCGGGAGCGGCCTGACCCGGCCTTCCCGAGGCCTCGCTCCCCGCCGGACCCCCGCACCGGGGAGGGCCCGGCGGCCGCCTCAGCCCTCTCGCAGCCCGCCCGGCCCCGCGGCCGCCTCACCTGCACCGAGGGGCGCCTCCGGCTTCCTGCCCAGCAGCATGGTGGCGGGAGGGGAGCGGCCCCCATCCCCCGCCGGGCCCGCGCTCCGCCGACCGGCGCTGTCCCGGCGCCCGCCCGCCCGCCACCGGCCCGGCCGTTGCCAGGGAAACCGCCCCCCCCCGTCACCCGCCGCCGGGCGGCGCCTGCGCAATGGCGGCGCGGGGGAGGCGGGAGGAGCGGGGCCTGGCCGCCCGGGGCCGCGCTGCGCTCACCGGATGGGCGCGTTACGTTGTGAGCCCCTGCTCAGCCCCTCCGCCCTGCACCGCCCGCTCCTCGCCGCTCCCGCTGCTCCCCCGCCCCGGGAGACGCCCCACAGCAAAGCCCAAGCGCGGGGGAAGGGGCCCCGTTAGGGCTGAGCCCGCTGCGGCCCCGGTGTGTCCGGTCTCGGCGGGGCCCGCGGGGGAAGCGGTTTCCACCCGGACGCTTTAGTGCGGCGGGACCATGGCGGCTGCCGCGGCCTGAGCGGAGCGCGGTGCCGGCGGGGCGCGGGCCCGCCATGTTCTCCAGGGCGTTCCGGGTGAGATCCAACACCGCCATCAAGGGGTCCGATCGGTGAGTGCCGAGGGGGGGGGGGCCGGAGCCGCGCTCCTCTGCGGGGAGCGGCTCAGGCCCGCCTCCTGCGCTAGGCCCGTCCCGGTGCTCGGTGGGCCCGGCCTGCCGTGGCCGGCTCAGCGCCCACAGGGCGGCGGCGGCCGTCGGCTTGCGCTTGTGGCAAACACGGACCGGCGCTCTGAATCCGAAAGGTACCCCTCGAGAGAAGGTGCTAATGTAATTAAATGAGATTCAGGTTAATTATGTCGAGGCCTAACTGGTCCTTCCCCTCTGCATTCCGTGTAGTGATGGTGTCTGACTTGCCGGCCTCTTAAATTCACTTGATGTATCTGTGAGTGGCCACACAAACCCGCCTTGTGCTGCTCACCACGTCTTAAACATCAGTTAAAGTGGGGGCAGAGGGAGAGTTCCAGCTGTTTCTCCGTGCTGTAGGTAACAGAGCCAGGCTGAGCAAGTCCAGCACTCCCAGATCTCTGCTCAGAGCAGTAATGGAATCACAGCAGGAAACAGGGGCAAAGACAGCAGCAGAAGATGTTGGCAGGTCATAGAATCATAGACTGGAATTGGGTTGGAAGGGACGTGAAAGCTCATCCAGTTCCAGTCCCCTGCCACAGGCATGGACACCTTCCACTGGAGCAGTTTCTCACTGTTTTAAAGTAGAATATGAACAGAGAGAACATATTTGGCCTTTTCTCAGTATTATTCCAGCTATCTCATTTGTAAACCCAAACACAAAGCTATCCTGTGTGAAAAGGTGGGAATCTCATGAACAACCAACAAAACAGTAATGACTGTTCCACGAGTTAGTTTGAGTCTAGACTGCTTTGTAACACGTTTGTGATTTTATCATTACAGGAGAAAACTACGAGCTGATGTTGCAGCAGCTTTTCCTAACCTTAGTGCTGAACAATTGGCTGAGTTTATTTCAAACAAGGAAGAGCTTAATGTCATCAAAATATACTGTCACAAAGGGGAGGCTGTCACTGTTTACATGAATAACAAGAACCCAATACTGTTTGAAATCGAGAAAGCTCTGTATCCAACAGGTATGGGGAATGGACTACAAAAATCCTCCCTCTTTACTTACTGGGCACCAGCCTTTCCCCAAAAGATTTCCTTGCATCTGCCTTAAGTACTTACCCTATAATATCGGTATACTTCATAATCTTCAGTGCATTTATTCGAGCAACATCTTTGCAAAATTAATGGCATCTCTGGGTTCTTTTTGCAAAGGGAAATTGATCTGATTTGAGGTTAGAAACCAGGACACAAGTCATAGTTTAGCCTCTTACCCCCCCTTTGCTCTCTTTTGTCCGCTGCAATTCTCCCCTCCTGGAGTAGCAGTTTAGTTCAAAGTGTCCTTGACTTAAGGAAAATGATGCAAACGTGTCTGTATCCTTTAGAATAATTCTCAGGAGCTTGAATGAACAAGCAGTTTAATTTTCTCCATCACTTCTGTTAATTGTAGGATTGCTCTGACTTCAGTTTTCTTGATTGCCCAAGTAACAGGGGGAGTGTTTAGTTGTGGTTAGTATTGTACTGCTTAAAGATGGGAAGAAGCAACAGCTAGAGAAGTTTTCAGTGACGTATCTTTGAATCTGGTTCTGTTTTGGGACAGTGTACACCCTGTGGGTCTACCCAGATCTTCTCCCTGCTTTCTCGACATGGCCCCCTGTGCTACAGAAACTAGCAGGAGGAGCAGGTAAGAGGACTAGAACTTTGCCACAGTGCATGGGTAAAAGGAGTTGCCTTCAGGGCTTTTTTGATGTTATCTTTCCCAGTGGCAAAAATGAACTTGAAACAAAAAAGGGTAAAGAATAAGCACTCAAAAGTAATTCATGGTGGTGACCTAAAAAGGGAAATTAAATGAGCTGTAAAAAAGCTTGTGGATGAAACAAAGTAGGTTAAGCTGTTTAAATGCACTGTTCCATGTGGGAGTGTCAGATCTGGAGATACCTCCTCAGGGTGATGAGCAATGCTGAGCTGGGACACAGAACTGCCTTTGTCATTGGTCTTTTCTATTACTTCCCTTGAGCAGCTGAGTTACTTTGCTGCCACCCCGCTTCCTGTCAATTCAGAGGTGAACTAGCTTATCCTGTGGATAAAAAGCAAGTTTATATTGGAGCCTGAAGTTGTAATCACTGTCAAGTAAACTGTGCTTGTGCAGGTGAGGTTGAATTTGAATTCCTGGATTTCTGGCTCTGCCACCTAATTATGGATCAAGGCTAACAAGAAAGGAGTTTATTTTCTGGAACCTGCTTTGGATGCATTTCAGCCTTAGAAGAATCAGGTCTTTATAAACTTTAAATTGCTGAACTGCTCAACCAGAAAAAGATTAAATTGCAGCTGCTGCAGCCTTAGTCTGGAAACAGAAGTGTATGTTGGGAAGAAATGTCTTTTTCTCATTACATAGGATCTAAAGGAGTCCCTCTGCTTTTGGGGAGATAAAGTGCGTGAATGTGTAGCTATGATAGACATCAGAGCAAGCCTTGCTGCTGACTTGTAGTGACCTAGTTTCTGGGCAGGGGAGGGAAGTCTTACTAATGGGAGAAGAAGGTTGATGAAAGAGGGCTGCAGGTCATTCATCTCCCATGGCAACCAGGCCACCTCTGGGTATGATCCAAAGATAAGAAGCTGGCCAGTGACAATGGCCAACAAAGGGAGAGGTAGAGCCACATCTCAATAAAAAAAAAAAGAGGAGGAAAGACTATCCAGTGCTGCAGACATGGAGGGAGGGAGCAGATTTAGGGAGCATTCAGTTACAAAGAGAAGCAAGGTAGTGCAATTTGTGAATGTGTTCTGTGAATTTAAATACCTACTGTCTGTCCTGGTTAGTTCCATAATACACACATCTGACTTACCTTGTCACATTAAGGTCTTTGTGTGATTTCTGCCCTCAGAGATGTGGATACTTGCTTGCAAGTGCAGGATTCGTTCTAGATTTGCTGAAAGTAGTTGTGACAGTGAATGGGAGGAAAAATACTGTTGGCTTCTTCAGCATAGGCATAAAATCTATGATGCTGAGAAAGAGAAAAACTGAGATGCCTTCAAAACCAAACCATGGAACACAGGTCAGTCTCTGAGACAGCAGGCTCTAGACAGCTGAAGCTGCTGTGAGGGAGAGCAGAAGCTCTTTGTATAGTTCTGTGATGATGTGATGCCACATGTGCAACAACGAAAACTGTTTGCTTACATGCCAATCTATTCATCCCAGGTATGAAAGCAGGAAGCACAGTAGAAGGTGTA